CGATTTATTCGCAGGTTAATGAGCTTATGCCTGTTTTGGGTACTTACCTTCCAAATAGCACATTAGGAAGCTTTCACTTGCCGAGTTCAACTTATTAATCAAGTGCTTGCCATCAATGGTGGTTTGGATGTGTTTGGCTCCATTTTATATCTTCCAGACCTCGCGGTTTGTACCTCAAATAGCTTTCGGATTATTGAGTTCTTACGTTGCTATTATGTTTACCTTCGCGATATGCATGATCACATAGAAATGGCCTTATTATCTGAGTTCTTATGCAGTGGCTGGGTACATTGATGTGGTCATTTCAGAAACGAAAACTAACATGTAAGAGTAGTCACCTTCTTAATCAACAAGGTGCGCTACGAACTAAAGTCATGTGCTATGCTAATTGTTTGTATTGGTGTTCAGGGAAGAGTGCATCCGGAAGGGAAGATTACATCATCATCAGTTCTGTCAAAATAAAGCGACCATAAACAAGACATGCCTTCTGCAGAACATAATGATGAGTGCTCCAATTTTCAACGGTTTATATATTTGTTTCCAGTTCTTTTATGTGTGTATGTCTTCTACGCCCGATGATTATGATTCGTTGATCCCTTTTTCCTTTCAAGAGGAAGAGCATATATGCAACAAAAAGGACCAACAAAAATTATATAATCAAACACGATTGGCGATTCTCATGATGATGAGATTTGTGCTCTTTATGAACGAGCTTTCTCTTGGTACTTTTTTCTCCCTTGAATCTCTCATTTTTATAGCTGATGTTGTGTTATATCATGTTGCACGGTCAATCACAAATCGTGTTTGGTTTCTAAAATTAGAATGAATCCATGTTTGTGTTGCCTAGGGACTGTAACTTGTGATTACCTTTCATATTCATCTAAAAGTTTAATTTTTTATTTGTTATATTGGTATTGTTTTCAGGTATGGTTGGTATTTTAATTTGATTTTGGATACTCATAGGATAATTGTCAGTTCCAACCAGTACATGGATACTCATCTAAAATCAATTAGGTGATTTTCCCCATGTATTCGTTCCTACCCATTCACGATTCTGATTTTATAATTTTCCATTTTATAGGTTCCATTTGTTGCTATAGGTGTTTCCTACGAACTGAAGTATAGAGAAAAAAGTATATGTTCATGAATTTGAGATGCACGAGGGTGTTTGGTTTAGCCAATGCCCATGGATTTCGTAACCAAAGGTAGTATTCTGATTAATACCTTTGCTGCTTCTCTGTTTGTTGTCGCTTCAAACCTCCACTTATCATCTTACATATCATGGCAGGTTCTACGGCATAGGAATTGTGTCTCTTCATTTTACCAGTTTTTCCTTTAGATAGATGTGCTTCAGTAAAATGTTTTGTGTTCTGCACTTTTATTCTGAATTTTGTAGTAGGGTAGAATCAAGCGAAGACAAATACTTGCAGTAGGATTCATATAAAACGTCTATGTAAAAAATACATGTATTGCACTTGAGATCTTAATTAATACAGTTGGGTCATATATTTAATCCGTTTGTTTTATCTTCTTCGACACTGTACTTTTTAAGCTGTGATGTAAAACTTGCATGAAATTGACTTGCAATGAATGTCTGGATTTAGCAAGTGGCAATCTATTAACTTTGTACTCTTGGATGTGCCCTTTCGAATTATTTAGTGTCCGGGACCTGCTTTTTCATATGACGATATAATCAGATAGCAAACTTTTCAATTCCTTACTTTGTTGTGGTCATGCTTTGATCCTTGATTGACCCAGGCTCATGAAAATCATCCTAAATCATATTAGCTATCTTGATGATATCGGATTGCTGCTGCATCTATTGTTTTTTAAAGTAAAGATTGGATTTTGCCTATATATGTTAAACTATAATCTATAGATGTTATTATGAGAAGGAGATGATGTTTCTCTGTATATGACCAATTATCTGACCAATTTGGCTGCAGAAAAATTGCTTGAAGCAATAAGACAGGAAGATTGGTTACTCATATAGACAAAGAACATAAAAAGAGTAATTGCATACCGAGTGAAAGGGATTTGGATATCTCTGCACAAAGAAAAGTCGGTATCACTTATTGGTTATTCATTTGATATTAAGTTCACTGTTTTTTTTTTGTAGTTAGAATCTTATCAGCATCGAATAGTTAATTCTTAGATATTTTGTTTTTATGGTAGTGTGCTCTAATCCATTCCATTAGGCTGAGACTGTTTTGATTCGAGTTGACCTGAAGGAATCAGTAGCGAGCTTCCAATTGGGGTTAATGATTTTGAGATGCTGAGCATTATTGATTGAGTCAATGTTCATAGATGCCTTAACCTAAGGTTTTTGTGTGATTCTAGCCTATGTTCTTTTCAGCTGCTGTTTATTCTATAAGTTCTTACACAACACCTTTAGTATTTCTAAAATGTTGATCCCAAAAAAGTTAAGAAAAAGAACACTGAAATGCTTGATAATTTGTCTTTGATGGCAGACTATAGTTTCCAAATCATCTTCTTCTATCAACTGATTGTATAATCCCACCTTTTGCCTCTATTGCAAGAATCAACAAGGGAAACCAGAGCTACAGTATTTCCATTTCATCACCCTTTGAGGCTGGGCAAGTGTTTCAACTCCTGGATTGGGGTAATTAATTGGTTCAAGGTTGCTGCTGGTTGTTTATTTAGTTCGTTCTTAAATTCATTATCAAGTTCCTTTTGGGGGCATTCACTTGCAAATTTCATTTATCCTTTGAGTCAAATGATATTTAAACTCTTTTAACACAAAATTATGTTCTGGTATGTCTAAAGTTACATGTTGTTTGGAGGCAAAAATTCCTACAGATCTTTATTGTCATGGGTCTGAAGTTTTAGTATAGGTGTGGAAGTTGTAGGAACATAGATCTATGTTGTGATGGTCCTCAAAGGGAGGGGAAGGAGTTGTTGCATCTAATGTCTAAAAAATAGTACAACCATTGCTTTCGCTATCACTTTTTGTTTAAGGTTGAATACCATCAAATTGCGGACACTACGAAGTAAGTTTCATTTATCTACGGTAGACATATAATATGTGGGTAGCGAATGTCTTCTGGGATTAAGAAATATGACCGTCATTTGTTGCTTCTTTAATCACTTAAGTTAAGGGGTTGCATCGAGGGGATTATTAAGACACATGCATAGTTTTGATAGCAAGTACTTATTGTGTGATATTATCTAAACGGAGTTCCCAATAAGTAAAGGGTGTTAAGGCTATAAATGTAGTGCATTAGCTAAAGTGCTCTTTGAATTGAATCATTATTTGAGGATTAAAAAGTACCCAAATAATGAAAATATGAAATCATCTAGATAATGACATAAATGAAGGGAAGGAAATAATAACTATAAAATGAACCAATTAGAGGATAATCGCTTTGCATATATGTATGTGTTAAAATATTTTGCAATTCGTCTTCGGTGGGTGGGGTTCTTGGTTAAGTTGTCGTTTTGAGATCATGAATTGTTGTGTGTGCTCTTGATTAGTTCCCCGTCATATTTTGCTAATGCATTCTTTGGTAACGCTGCTATATTTTTTAAAATTAGAAGCAAGAACAATTAGTGAAAGTTTAAACATTCCTAATGCTAGCATATACTAATTACTTGAAGCCCCCTTTCTTTTCTTCATGTAGTTGTTGTTGATGGTGAAAGCCGTTGTTTTAGTAGATGACTCGGGCTAGGATTTCTTTACAAGATGGATGGGGACAAGACAATTTGTTTTCAATGCAACATCAGATAATAGTACGAAAATAGCTTACCATGCATCCTCATTCTCACACGACATTGTTTATGTTGGTGATAACATATTCTTAAAACAACAGCTGCTTCGATGACTATGTTCTGTGCTAATATGGATGATTGCTAAGTGGGTTATTAATGTTTACTTCCTGATCCGTTGGACATTTAATAACTCACTTTTGTGCATATACCTTATAACTATGCCACATGCTAGCTCATTTTGTTATGGGTTGTTAATTGCAAGGACCAACATAGGCGAAAAGATAATTGTGACCAGATCACATACAGATTTCTCATATTGGGAATCGCGTTTTAATCAATAAACCATGAGATTGCCAGAGAATCTTGAAGATGACATGTTTTTAATCAACTACTAATAATGTATTGTATGTTGGCTAATATGGCACCATGATAATTCTTCCCAGGTTTGTTGTTTGGATGGTTTTACTGTTTTCTTTACTTTTATGTCTTTCCCATCGGTCTCTTTGAATGCTCGATTTACAAATCTAATTTATGGATGTCACTTATTCCAAATTAATGGGGACCAACAAATTTCAAATTCGATAGCAAAACTTTTCATCCTTGACCTTTGATTTGATTAGAGTTTTAGCACCTACTTCCAAATTTAGGAGTTAGACAAATCTCGCATGTGTTGAATTTAGATACCAAATACATAACTGAAATATATGATCCAAACGATGTTCACATTTGTTATTGAATATCAAATTGGTTTTCTTTCTTTATGAAGTCATGAATCTTTTTTCATAAAATCCCATTTTCACGACAAACGATTGTATATTTGAATCAACAAGTGTTTTATTTAATAAAATTTCAAATAAATACTTCAAAAATTTGAGATTTTGGTCAATATAATAGCTTGGACTATCCTTTTACGTCATTGTCATTTGTCAACTCTTAAAACCACAAATATTTTTCGTGAATCATATAAAATTAAAGATCCCAAATCAAGTAAATCATAAATATTGATAAAATAAATTATACAAAATAGAATGAAATTGATCCGACCAACGGGTCGGGTAAAAGCTAGTTGGTATATAGAGAAGGGCCACCATTAGTGTCTAGGACTTGAGGTAAAGAAGTCATACTTCCCCGCATTGCACTTATCTATTAATGAACCACTTTAGTCGATAATGCATTATATAATCCTACAAAAGGTTGAAATTGTGCCCCTTACATTTCTAAACGAAGAGCAGGTACAAAAATAATCCCAAGAAAACTGGTGATGGGAACCTACATAATGTGTTTTTCGTACAATGATAACTAGACCTAAGACTCTAAACTATCTCAACCAAGTAACAAACAAGAAGACAGAGTTGATGGCTAGAGGCAACCAACTCCTCGAGCTCCACTGTGCTGGATTGACGAAGTACTCTCTAGAAATTGACACATTTGCTGTCGATGCACCTAAGAAGATGACATGGATAAGGATGTCAGAGATACCTATTGAAAGGTATGAAAATTAACACAGAAAGGGAAGGGAAATTCCCACACTTAAAGATCCTATGAGTTGAGCGAACTTACAGTTGTAGTTGGCCCACCCAATTTGCTGGTGGACCAGATCGTACACGAAGATTCTGTCTTTGAGAACAAGATCTGCACATGAGAAGAAGATGAGACAATTATCACAATCATACATGACAATCTTAAAACAAGTCTGATAGTTCCAAGAAAAAACTAACTGAAAGATATTTGGATTCCAAAATGAAAAATAACAGAGTCGGAGAGTCTCTAACCTCCTAAAACTGTCAGTCTTGGATTCTTCCAAAAACCTAGGCACCACATGCCAGCTACATCCCACTACAAGGAAGTATGACCAATGGTGTATCAGAAATTGTGTGGGTCAAAAACAACTGAATTCCAATGAATATTATAAGGAAGAAGAATCAAATGGCTAAGATTTGGACATAACTACTTACAGCAGATTGGACAAGGTACTGCTCTGGTGTTAGTACTAGAGAAGCACCACCCTTAAAATTGAAGCTCACGACAGGAAACAGCTGAGAAACACTGCATATGAAAGTCAAGCCACATTGGTAAGGCCAGTGTGAAGTAAGAAGAACCCGAACCAACTGTCCAATACCCATATCAGAATTGCCACGGCATGCCCTGTTTATTACTGTTGCTTGTTTCTGTTTTCTATTGTGTTTTAATAAATTGTGAAAACCATGAAAGAAAAACATGTTTGGTTGAGTTTTTAATTTTTGTTGTGAAACAGACTCACATTACCAGATCCAAATCAAAGAAACAAAAAAAAACGACTTCCTTGGTGATTTATTACTCTATTGCACACTAGATTCAATAATTTTTTCATTAATTCACTTTTAATTATTTTTTGGGTGAATACAATATATTAGCAACAATATTTCAAGTATTCAAATTATTAGCTACAACTATCAAAATATAAATTATTAGTCATAATTATTGTAGCCGGTCAAAATATGACTAATAGACTATTACTATTTTTAATTTTGTAAAGGAGACGGCGACATCAACATATCATTAAAAAATAATTTATTTTTATTATTAAAAAATAAAGATAAAAAATAAACTAAACCCTTCATCTGTGCGTGAGGGAGGAAGAGGGTGTTCCTTCTATTCTTCCGCAAGACCGGGACGGGCCACCCCCGCCAATGGTCGCCGCTTCTCCATCCCTGTGAATCTGCCGCCTTCACACATCATTTTATTTGCTACTTTTTAGAGATGGGTGTGGTTGAAGAAGCAGCAACACACATCGAGGGTATGCTAGCAACATCGCTGAAAGAAGGAAGCCGCTGTCCGATTGCAGCAACACCATCCTCCCACTCTCGGCTTGTCTGCTAGTTGTTATTCCTTTTCCTCCTCGTCTAACCTTCTCAAGAAACCCTTAAATCCCAATTCGGTGACCATGTAAATCCCACTAAGACCAATCTCGATAAGGTTCAATCAAAAACCGGATCCACCGCCGGCTTCGCTCTAGGATCCTCCACTTCCACGCCGACTCTCCCACAGCACAATCCATCCTCGACTGTCAGTAATTTTGGGTTCTCTCTTCCGCTTTCATCGATTGCTTATTTTGAAATCGACTTTGGGATCTAGGGTTTTGTCAGGGATGGGATAGATGTCTGATTTTGGCTGTGGGTGTGCTTTTTTTTAGTGTTGATTTTATTTTTTAGAATTGAGTAATAAAAATGGTCAAAAATTGATTAATTGATGTGGCATTTTCTGTTGACTGCAAGTCTGCCACTTCAAACTATTTCTTCCACGGTTCCACCACAACATAACATCTGTTAACTCACTATCATCTAGCAGTGAAATATTAACAGAAATTTAATATTGACTAATAATTAGTATATCGATAGTTGTGACTAATATATTATATATTTAGTATTTACCTATATTTTTTATTTTGTTTCTTCTTTCCTTCTTCCCTTCCACAGACAGATCTGTGAAACCTCCCCACCCACGCCGCCTCCTTCTGATCCGGGTCGGGAGCGGTTACGGTGATTACTACAAAGGGTAGGAATCGTATTCTAGTGCTTATTGTTTTGGTAGTGATGTTGTGTTTTGTTGGTAGTGTTTACATTGTGGTATTGGTATATATCTTTGTAGCAACCTTATGTATGATAACCAATACCATTCCATAAAACTCGAACAATACCATTGCACATATAACAATGAATACTACCATTCTATATGCATGCTACCAATGCATGCTAGTCTGAACAAAACTGCACACACGTACCATTGCAAGATCAACAAATAGTGAAACTCATCTTGAACACTACCATTGCAAGATAAAATAATATACCAATTCACCAAAAGATCATTACCATTGCAAGATCACTACCAATGTATGCAGATAACTACGAAAATGGTAGATCATTCATCATTACCATTTCATGAAAAAATCAATTTCTTTGCTTTTTGCTTTTGCCTTCCGCCACTACTCTGCTTCTCGCTCTCATTATCTTCCATGTATATTATATAATTCATGATGCGCTCTTTTCAATACCACTCCATCTCTCTCCACTCGAAGGCAATGAAGAGAACATGAATTGATTTTCTTTCTTCCGTGAGCTTCCGGTTCGGGATCGAAGGAGCCGCTTGTTTCGAGGTTGGGCGACGACGGATGGCCAGAGGCGGTCTGCTAAGCTTGGTCCTGTGGCGCGTTGGGAGTGAGGGAGGGGAGGGTAGGAGTAGGATTTGGATAGCCTCTCGATGACGATGGGAGCTTGCGGCAGCGACAGGTTTGACTGGAGGGAGGGGAGGCTAGAGTTTGGGTACAATATAAAGAATAATCGGGGTGTGGTCTATTTTTTGTTTTCAAAATTATCCTGAAACAATCTTAACCGTGAGATTAAAAAAGAGAAAAAATAAATAAAAATAGTTGCCACCCTAACCCGGGCCTCATCTCATTACCTCCATTTTTCGTTCTCGTGGAAGCTCAAGTTTTTCTTTCAATGACCGAGTTGGGCGAGATAATGACATCATACTTCTGGTCCTTGCTCCGGCAACCGACGACGTTCTCCTAACTATTCACGCGCCGATGAATCCCGGATCCCCTTTTCTCGTCCCGACCAAAGCCCCCGGCCCCAACTCCCGGCCACAACACCGATAAACCTGACGACCTCAACTCCCAGAAAGGTCGGAATCGTCCGCTGAAGAAATTACCTCCGCCGCCGCAGTCCAGTAGCACTTGGGTGGGTGAAGTTCACATTGAAGATTCTAGAAGAAAATCGACGAAATCCGGCGGGGGTCTAATTCTTCAGGCTGCATCTTCTTATTCCTCTCCGAGCCATTTGAAGAATCATCGTCCAATATTCATCGCTAGCCCCTTTGTTCATGAAGAAATTCTCAAAGATTTGCCTCTGTTTCATTGAAGCTGCTTGTATTGATATGTTTTAGATGGAGAAGAAGAGAAGATACAATCAGGCGTTAGAGACTCTGCTTGTATATGGAGAATTGATTCTGAAATATCCTACGCCTCACTCCAATTTCCTCTGCTTGTATATGGAGAAAATTTTCTTTTGATTTTCATATCCTAAACATGTTTTGTTTGTGGTTATTGATTTTTATAATATCTCATAGAACTAAACGTGTTTTTGTTTTCTGTTTTTTGTTGTTGTGTTTCTTTTGTGTTCTCATAACAATGTTACAATCAAAATAACAACAAAATTATACAAAACGGAACAAGTCTTCCATAATATAATTTTCAAACCTGGAATTTACTTGATAACACTGGTGCTCCATTCTGATTGTAGGAGTTGCGGATTGTGAAACTGCTGCTGTAACCTAAAAATAAAAACATATATGTTATTGGTTTTGTAGCGCATAGAAAAGTTTATCCACAAGTCGCAGAAACTAAGTTTAACCAAAAGTGAGTTCAACTTTTTCAACGCTTTATCTAATTGCTTTATTTGTATTCAATAGGACACGGAAGAATATGTTACTTACAGCGTGGACAAATTGATCATAAGCCTCTTCCACCAGGAGAGCGTATGTTGTCTCAGTATCAAAAGAAGTGCCATGATTTCCTTGCCTTGAAAACACTACTGGATCGATTGGAAGTGTTCATCCATTCACTATAATGCTCTCCAGATTCACATGGTAAAGATGCCTGCCAATTCAAAGAGGAACTATTCAGCTGAACAGTAATGGCTCACGGTGACATAATAGATTATTATAAGTCTTGTCATGCCAAAAACATAGATAGTACAGAGATAATAGTAGGACAAGATTAAGAGAAACATCCATAAATATGCAAAATACACTTGTATAAGAATAATTATCCAGTTTTTGACAATAATAGTCAAATTTTAAAAATACACTAAAATAGATATTTCGTCCTTAACTTTAATGGAATCATCATGAATGTTGACTGGACTAATGTTTTTTTGGTGACATAGTGACTTTGTGCCAAAGATTATCCACGTGTAAATGCTCCTAAAATTAAAAATAAATGAACATATCTCTCATGACGAACCCCTCTACCGACCCATCTCCCTTCTCGTCGTTTAAGTTCTTTCTTTTCTTCTTCCTCCACCAACTCATTTCTGTCCCCGTCGTTTGAAGCTGCCTTTTCCCGTCATCGTTGCCAACTTCATCCTCCCTTCTCCTTCTGTACTTCATTTTGATCTGGAGATGTTGTCTTTTCTCGTCATTCCGTCTCATCCTCCTATGCATTCCAAGCCCAACATTTTGACTCACGTCCTCTCCACATCTCCGACGCCACTGTCAAACTAGAGAATCAACCAACTCTGCCCACTTCCGGTTATGGATATGTTGCTTTGCGGTGGTGGAAAGGGATTTTAATTTTCGCATCAAGAGAGAGATTCGAAGATGGATTGAGTGTGAGAGAGGACCAATAGTGTCATCGATTCAATCAGGCGAATCTAAGGTTGGATTCGAGTTTTTGAATTGGCTTTATGGCAAGGTGACTTCTCATCTCACTACAAGGGAAGTTAATTTGAACAGACCTAGGAACGTCATTAGTGGTATCAGGGCCATTCTCTTCAACAATGACGATGGCAAGTCGCATGGTATCAATGGAAGCGGACAATCAGATATTTAACTCCATCAACTCGAAATTTGACCGTATGAAATGCCAATTTGATGAGATACTACAACGATTGGAGGAAGTGAAGCAACAATTGTCATTGGAGAAGGTTGGCGGTATAGTGGGTCAGTTAGTGAGCCGGTATGTTGGCAGAGACACTTTTCACCTGTGCGTGGGGCAGCTAGTCATGAGATCTCCCTGCCGATTGGCACCGATGCATTTCCGGGTGTTGGTGGCTTATCAACGAGTCAGGGGAGCCACCCATTACTTGTTCGACGAATTGCGCAGCTAGAGTCGACGACTTCTCCTCAATATCAACTCTCCTGAAAGACGGCAGCTTATGAGGCAAATCACTGTGTTTTCTCTCCGCCACACACACACCCAAGAACTTCCAAATTAGTTCCTACTTCAACAGCCACCGGTGATTGTGGCATCTTCACCACTCCATCGCTTCCTTCGAAGGCAAAAGAGGGGGCGTGTTCCACCCCCAATCTCAGGTAATGTGCAAACTCCATTTTCTAAACCAGATTTTCCTTCCTTCTCTTGTGAGAACCCTAGGAGTTGGATTAAGGAGTGTGAGCGAATGTTTGAGAAATATGATACTCCAGAACATGAGAAGGTCAAGGTTGCTACCATTAATTTTGAGCGAAGGGCGGATTTATGGTTTAGGGGATGGACATTATGTTATTCAGTTTGGGTTTGGAGTGAGTTTTCTTATGTTGTATGCAACGTTTTGGATGGTACAATGCAACTGGTTTGGTTAGTTATGATTTTTCTTTCATTCCTTTAACAAAATTTGGGATGGATCAGACAGAGGATTCGGGCAGTGGGTCAGCTACAGAGACTCGGAGTTCATAGTCAAATTTGGGTAGACATGTATTAGTTGACCCTGTTACTATCTCGGAAGAGAATAGTGAGTTTGTTGCAAAGGGAAGTAGTATTCTATCTAGTGAGAAGATCGTCAGTGATAGTGGGTTGAAGCAGATTAAAGCCAACCTAATTGCTGCTGCAGCTAGTGACAACGATCTTGAAGAGACGGGTAGTGACCATGATGGGATGTTGGTTCTCAGTGAAGAAGATTTGTGTCTTGTTTGCTTAAGTAATGCAGCAGATGATGAGTGTACTGCCAACAACATGAGAGAACATACTTCAAGTACTCCTAGTAAAGTGGAATCGGGTAAGACAAGTGATGATGCATTAACATTGGAGCTATTTGGGAAGCAAGAGTATGAGATCAACCTCGACAATTGATGTCGTGTTCATGGCTGGTATTCTTCTAGAGCAAGCTGAGAAGTTGCAAGAACACGAGATTTATCGCATGCATAGTGCAGAAGGCTATGAGTTGGCTCTAGATTAGGTGTTAAACATTTGAATGGTATTGCCCATAAGTTCGATTGGGGTTCTCGCAATGCAGTTAAATCGCGCTTTAAAACATAAAAGCTTATGCTTTTACCTTTTTAGGTCACCAAAACGCTTTTACTTAGAATCGTGATTTTTCCTTACAAATGTAGTCAAAATCTATACTTTAAAACTTAAAAGCTTACGATTTTACGCTTCTAGGTCACTCAACCGTTTCTAGGTAGAATCGCGCTTTTGACTGGAATGAGAAGGATCCTGAATTGCCTTTTCGTCTTGAGGACGTTGAATCTTGGGTTAAGGTTGACATAGTGGAGTGTTGTGAGTTTGTGTATGAATACTTGGGATGTAGTGTGGTACTAAATCAGAGCAACTGGAATTGTGGGTATCAGATTTACCCGACTTACTATGGTGTTTGTGAAATCTCTTTTGGTAGAGGTAATAGTCCCAATTTCAAGAAACCATTTAAGGAGGATTTGGGGCCACCACTATTGGAGGGCTATTTGTTGTTAATTTTCAGCAAGGTTGGGTGTTCAAGGGCTATCAGGGCGTTGTGATGAGGCTTGTGGCAGGGAATGTGATTAATGGGCACATATTGCAATTGCTTGTTGTTACTTTCAAGCTAATGGCTGCAAAACTTGAGGAAAGATGTGCACTGCTGGTTTTCGAAATGCAAGAACATCTCAAGCCTCATACCGCGACAACTTATGATGAGCTCTAAGTTCGTACCAATGAGCATTGGTCAGTATAACCCATATGTTTGTTTTCTAATAATTTTTTATGTTGTGGGTTGTTGTTCTGTTATAGACTTGAGGACTAGTCTAGTCTCAAGGGGTTAGGAGTTGTAATGATCGGGACTTATTTGTAAATCGGGTATTCATCTAGAATCATTGTAATTGACCAGGCCTTATAAAAGGGACCCTACTGTAACATAAAGGAACAACTAAGAAGAGAATACATTTTCCCAATTATCCTTCCTTCCTGCTTTGTATCTCTCTCGTTCTCCTCCTTTTCTCTGCAACTCCTCTGCCCTTCTTCCTCCTTGTTTCCTTCTGTCTATTGTTTCCTCTTCTTCTTCTCAACCTCTCTTCCACTTCCCCTAATTCTCATCTCAATTCTACTATTTTGTTCAATTAATTCGTTGCGAAAGATCTAGGAACATCACATCCTCAATCTGACTCGCCTCGGTGGCAAATAAGGGGAGGACATATCTGGCTCGCCATCACCTGTAGCCTAGAACCGGAGCTCATTCCGGCAGTTCCCTCAAGGCGATTACCTTTTATTTCGCTATTATCAAGATCGGTATATGATTTGGGGGAGGGCAATGCTATTGAAGCGGTACAAAGGCGATTGTTGGGTGGGAGAGGGGGGGCGGTTTGGAAAACAGGGGGGAGCAGTAGAGGAGGAAGGGGAAGAATTGACATTGGAAGGAATGAGCGGAGCGAAAAATGGGAAGCTCCATTTGGGGGGTGGAGGTTGGTGGGTTAGTTGTGGATTTTACAAATACAAATTTAAAATGAGGTGGCTTACACGTGGCATTGAATAGTGATTTAGATTTGACTTGTAGATCCATATCAACATAGAGTTAACAGTGTTAAAATATGTAACGGAATTGGCTAAATTTGTGAACCTAGTTTCTAAAATGTGACTATATTAGATTAATTTTCAAAATTTGGCTTTTTTTTTCGCAAAGTGCATAGTTATGACTATGAAAACGTATTTTGCCGAAAAAGAAAGATGAAAAAATACTGACTGTGATGGGACGAGGGGGGTGTACATGATGCCTGGCGCCAAAACCTTTCCCATAACAAAAATCCCACCTCCACTTCCCTCTCCTCTTAAGCAATGCGAGAAGACTCGCGGTATCAGTCCTCTCGATGACAGTTGCGAGAAAACGGAGAGATCTCCCCGCCCAAAACCAAGAATTCCGCCAACCGTAAAATCTGTGCTAGTCAGGTAGCCAGATTGATAGGTACTGACTCTGCATCCAACACGCACATGTAATAAGCTCTTATGTGACATTTTGCAAATTCAGAAACAAAAACATTATAGCACAAACAACAACTTACCCAAACAGAATCGGCGCTGACGAGCAATTTGCAATTCCTGAACCAGGCAACAGCGAATCGAAATGGAACTCATCTTTCACGTAAACCCCAGACGTTGCACTCGAATCGAGATACCGGATGGTGTAGCCGCACTGGCCATTCCTTGAACACCAAGCTGTGCCGCTTTGATTGAATGGAGCACAATACTTGTGTGTACAAGGAATGACCCGAGCAGTTGAGGAGGCAGTGGTATCAAAAAACGTAGGCTGGATCTGCATCACAATACCAACAAAAGAAGAATGATTAAGTTTGATATGGAATCAATCTCGACCCTTCTGTACAGCTACAGCGCAATTAGTGTTAATAGCTCCCGTCTTCCCCATGGAATCACTCCCCTCCCCTGTATATCGATTCTCAAATAATACTCTAAGGCCGAAGATCGATACACAAAGCCAATACGGCTAATTCCCCCCACTATGAATCCAGACTTTATATCCCAGAAGTTCCGCACCAAGAAACAGAGAAGCAGAGAGATAGCTCACTAGATTGCTGGAGCGTGGACAATTGACGCAGGTGTTGGACATCACCCACAAGACATCACTCCCGGTGTCGATCACCACCTTGAATTCCCTTGGTGGTGACCCCAGTTTTATTTTCGTGTAATACAGTCTGTCCAACAAAACCAAGATTAGCAACAACAACAACAACAACAACAAAAAGCAGTCAATGTCAATCCCTGCTTCTGCTTGGAATCGACTAAGTAGTAGAGGCGGTAGGCAGGGGAAAGGAAACAGAGGTAGGAGGGAGGAGGGAAGATTGATTGAACAACACAGATGCAAAATTAATATTAATTTTGCGTTCCTTTTACGAGGTTCTTAAACGGCGCCGTTGAAAACAAAAACGCTCGAATTAATATGTGTATTGTATTGTCCAATGTCCAGTCTTTTTGCCGCCAAATTTTAAAATTATATACTCCCTCTTTCTTTTGTTTATATATGTACAGAACAGAAATATTGATTTCAAACGGGAGAAAGTAATTAAAAAAAAACAACAAACAGGGGGAAACGGAATTACCCGAACAGATCGGCATCCGCTGAACCGTAAACGGGGAAGCTGACAACTCCATGGACGGCGGTGGACTCTCGCAAGATCCTCGCATGCCTAGCTCGGTCCCGAGCTATCAGCTGCTCCATGGATGTCGAGTTCGACGACAAAGGCAAAGTTCTCTCAAGATGGAAAACCGCAGCGCCATCGATCCCGAGCAGAAAAACGGCGGCGAGCATCATCACCGCCGTCATCACACACACTGGCGAGGAAGGAGAGCTAGAAACTATCATTTTGATTAAAAGGAACAGAGGATTGTGGGGGAACAGGGGAAGATAGAGAAACAGAACAAAAAAAGGGGCGGAGTCTCTCTTGAAACGTATGAACGATGCTGCTGGTACTAACTAATCGAGAGTATGAATTGGCATCTGGGAATTCAAGATTGATCGTTATCTGCATCCTTTTGTATACAGAGTTGGTGGACGAACACACTTAATGAGTGGGAGCCTGTCTGCTTTGAGACAGTCGCTGTTTGTTTGCTAAAATTAGGAGAATCAATCACTAGTAGCTGGCGGGAGTAGAGAAGTAATTGGAAAAATCTAGTCAGGGATGGGGTAAGGTAACTACTACCCTCCATTGATTCAAGTCTGTAAATGGGCTGATCTTTTTACTACTCATCTGTGGTTTGGCAGAGACACAATTCAGGTATAGTTGAATCCTCATCCGTCCATTATATGATTTGCAATTTTGCATGCGTGCAAAGTTACTACTGCGACCATGTTAACTAAGCCACAGTGAAGCAGCTTTTACCACTTGGTGTGACTTCTGTGCTTGTGCTTGGTGTGATTGTTCTGAAGTGGTTATTGGGCTTGGTTTTGCTTTTTGGCCCAAGTGATTAGTTCTGGGCTTCTGTCATCCTGCTGTTTGTTTGTCCTTTTTTCTTTTTCTTTTTCTTCATTAAATCACTTGCATAACAAGTTACACCAAGACCTAATCAATCACCCTATTGCTGGGTTGGACCAGACTATGAATGGAAGGACATATCGTAGTGTGCTTAGTTATCGACTGGGTGTCCCGTTATTTTTGGTATTTAGGCCCTGTTCTGCTTGTTCCCGTGTCTTTGATGGTAATGTATTTGGGGATCATGCTGTGTCCTGTGCTGGTATTTTGGGCATTAAGCATCAGCATAACCTCGTTCGAGACACCTTACTGGACATCTGTTACAGGTCTGGAATTTCTGTCGGAAAGGAGGTTGATATCGATTTGGTTGATGAGCATGGCAGACCCCTTCGTCCTGCGGATTTGCTGCTTTAAAACTGGAATAGGGGGCGAGATGTGTGTATTGATCTGACTGGGTCTTCTTCTTTGACTCAGACTGGGATGACCGATTTTGTGCCGGCCGAGTTGTAGCTGATGTCGCTCGGCGAAAGTGTGCTAAGTATCGGGACTTGTGCATGGCGGCTGGTTACGGGTTCCTGCCCTTTTCTTTCTCTTCGCTGGGGAGTTGGATGCGGATGATGTGGCTTTGCTTAAGCACATCCAGAAATTCTCTATGTCTCAGGATGCGGGGGCTCGGGCGGCCGCGTGCATTTTCACTAGACTTACCTTTGTTGTCGCTAAGGGAGTGGGAGCGCAGATTGTATCTAGGCTGCCCACTAATTTCTTGTAGACCTTTTATTTTTATTCCACTTTTTATTCTTATAAAAAATATTCAAACAAATTAAACGGAACGAAATTAACGATTAAACGGAATTGATATCGACTAACAAATTCTTCTTGATACTTTCAAATTGAATAGGGGGGTATATACATATATTGTCACCCTTATAGAGAAAAAAAAATTTCATTCATTCATAAGATCAGGGTACATATATTGTCACCCTTATAGAGAAATAAATTATTCACATTCATGAGATCAGGGTACATACATTGTCACCCTATAAGAGAAAGATGATCTACCTACTTCCCATCGTGAATGGAAGCTCTGCACCTAAGGAAGGCTGGTTACAGCTATACTGAAACGTCTCTTATCACTTTTATCCTATAAAGATACTATCCCAGGAACCTAAGGGGCGTAGCGAGCAATCAAAAGCTAATCTCATACCTCATGGTCTACTAAAAAAGGAACTGTAGCTTGTATTGGTTCGAATCCAAGACATGAGTAGTTGGCGTTATCAGCCCAACCCTCTGAAAAAAATCCTCATAGGCCCGTCCAACTTTACAATGAGTAATGACTATGAAAAATCTAGTCGCCAAGAAAACGATCTCTACTCAATATTGATACTTAGAGTTGGTACCGAGGTAAGGCCCAGAGGAAGGCTGGTGCAAAAAGCTATACTGACAGTACACATACTGACAGAAGCGAGTGAAGCGATTAACGACATCACAAAATATACCTTTTGGTTAAAAAAGGTAACCCATTGAGAGAGAGAAATGATTACGACATAAAAAACATCATGATTTTACAGTACATACACAGAAAGAATGAGAATAATATTCTTCAGTCTCGAACAACTTTATATCCAGTAAATCTAATATCTCAGGCACGTATGGCATCAACAAACAATGATAAAAATAAAAAACTGGAAATAAAAGAAGAGAGAGAGAGAAAGAACGAAAAGATGAACGAAAAACAGATAAGGAACGAAAAGATGAACGAAAGAAAGAACGAAAAGGAGAGTAAGATTCAGAGCGAAAAGCAACAGGAGAGAAAGAACGAGATGGAGAGTAAGATTCATAACGAAAAGCAACAAGAGATTCAAGATATGGAAATCGAAAAGTCAGATATTAAGGATATTCAACCCAAGGATGAGATTCAAGGGAAAGACATTCCAAAAGATGAAAGCATTTTGTTTCACTTCTACCTTTCACTCTTTTCTCGTCAGACTTCCTCCGGCCACCTTCATCTCGCTTCATCCTTGAGACGCCTAACAGAACTAGTATCAATATATAAAAATCAATACCACTGTATAAAAATCAGTCAACTAAACAAAAACCAGTATCACTACGAGAAGAAAACCAAAAACAATATCAATACAATGAGTAAAAATGAAACCAACACTAACACTAGTAGCATCACCTTCATTGTGGTCGTCGCGGCTCGTCATCAATGTTCCCCACTGTTGTTGGTGCTTGCTCTTCTACTTTCACCGCCAAGGGCGATGGATCGGCAGAGGATATGGCAAAGGAGAAGGGCAGCGGAGAGGGAGGGAGAGTGGCGTCGGCGACCTCATCGGTCGAAATTGGAGAGAGTAGGAGAGGAGTAGAGACAAACAGAGAGGGGATATGGAAATTCATAAAGAGGTTGCAACAGTGGCGGAGTAGAAATATGAATGAGGAGGGGCTAAAAAAATATACATTTGAGTGGTTTGAACCATGGTCATTGGTGAGGGGGGCTAATGGTTTACCAACTAGTCTATTTTTATAAGTTGTTGCACATTTTTTAAATAAATTTACTTATTTGCGAAAGTTGAGAGGGGCTAGCTATAGCTCACTCTGCGCATAACGTGGCTTCGCCACTGGGTTGCAATCACATGTGGTACCTCTTTTTGGGTACAAAGTTGCCTTGATAATGCACTTAAGCCTGTTAGTTAATAATAAGACTAGTCACTGGTCAAGATTAACATGTATATATAAATGCGATGATGATTCGAAAAGATGTGTTTAACCTTATGCTTAGGCATTGTTAGGCACTGGGCAACTCCAAAATGTCTCGCGTAGGGGTTCCCGATGAGTTAGGTATCAAGAACGAGTCGATAGAGTAAAGCGACACCTAGGCATAATTAGATGAAGCTAAACAGTCAATATCAAAGGGGGAATTTAACATTATCTACAAACTCGATCTTCTATCTCGATCTTTTTAATAGCTCCAAAATTTAGGCAACTATTAAGCTATGATTCTATGAACTTATGACCTATTTTCTTGTTGTTAAGTAATTTATTAATCATTTGAACTTAAATGATGATGAAGTATTGTAAATTTCTATAAATCCTTAATGGGTTAGTTATGAAGACGAGTAAGAATAATTTTTTGGGAGAATACGAGAAAAATTGAATATTCAATAATATAATTTTATTTCGATCAATGTAGTAATCAGTTCCATTTTATTATATATCTCGAAAATAAGAAACATGGTACGGCCGTGTCCAAAGCACTTTCAGCCAGATCACTCTGAGATCTACAAAGAAATCCTCGATCCGGAGTAGGACATCAAAGTACAACACATGTACTGGTGATGAGTAGATAATTCTGAAGGGACCTGGAGCGATGCCATTCTTCCGTCGACCTTCCGGTTGACGAAATTTGAGGCGAAAGGGGTTATTATGCTTATATTCTCCTCCTCTACTACCGCACATTTCTAGCCTATTTAACAGTCTGGCATCCTGAATAGAAAAAGGGGGAATTCTGACCACGAAAAGTTATATAATCAGCTTATGTAAATAAGTAAATTTCCTTGAAATTTAAACCTCTTTCTGCCTGTCTGACGGTGGTGAAGGGTTCTTTTGCTTTTCATTGATGATGCTGATTGCTGAGGTCGTTATTATTTCGGAAGTCGAGCCGTCTCATATGAATCAGCCGTCTTTCTTATATGTACGTTTTCCTCATTTGGTCTTTGGAATCTTGGTATATTCATACTGCTTCTACTGTGTTGGGTTCGTTGTTGGAATATAGATAAGACGACTCCTCGTCAACGGCGGCCACATCTTTACCATACAGAGCAATCATAATCGAATTGGCTTGGAGGTAAACACTTAACAGGGAATAAGGCTATTTGAATTGAAGTCCATAATGGTGGTGATAAGCCATTTAGCAAGTAATGCTTTTGGTTTAATGAAAAATTCGACAACTAATGGAAAATAGGATGTGTGACATGTATAAATAAAATAAAAATAACCTATTTGTTTTAATTTTGTTATGCAACAGTTTTGTGTTAGCCTCGTCGATATTATCTGCTTAAAAAGGTGACAAATGAATTGGATTCATAGATTTGTAGATTGGATTGGTGGTTCATGTATTTGGATGAAATCAACAAGTGGATTCATGGATTAGATCAAATGGAATGGTAGATAGGATCATGAATCCAAGTGACATCTATATATTTGACCAACATGAAAAATTTATGTGAAAAAATGTCATATTAAAAAAATTTAGGGGCCAAAATATAATTTTCCAATATATAAAAACCGTGGTCCAATATTTAAATAAAAAAATTTATAGAAACCTGGAGGTGTTTTATTAATCAATCAATGAAGC